GTGAGGCGCGGGGCGCTGCGCCGCGGGGGCCGGGCCGGGCCGCGCCCGCTCACCTCCCTCGCGCCGCTCTCTTGCAGACCTCATCGTGCAGGCCAAGTCCGGCACCGGCAAGACCTGCGTGTTCTCCGCCGTCGCGCTGGACGCGCTGCTGCTGGAGTGCCCGGCCACGCAGGTGGGTCACGCGTGGGGCTGTCCGGCGCGTCCCCCCCTGCAGCACCCCTGCACGAGGTGTGCTGCGGTGGAAGTCATTCTGGTTCATGCTGGGGCTGTGTCGTTCAGCCCTTGGCAGCACGTGTGAGCCCCTAGCAGGCAACTTTATTGTTGATTGTGCTGTGAAAATGGAGGTGCCCGGGCTGGGTGCTCTGTCTTAATCGTTTGAACCGTCCTGCATCTCTCCAAGGCTCACCCTTTGCTCCTCGCAGATTCTCATCCTGGCTCCGACGAGAGAGATCGCTGTACAGATTCATGCCGTCATCATGGCCATCGGAATAAAAATGGAAGGTCTGGAGTGCCATGTCTTCATTGGAGGGACTCCTCTGAGTCAGGACAAGGTCAGGCTGAAGAAGTGCCACATTGCAGTTGGTTCCCCAGGTACAGGCACACCTCAGCATACTCAACACTCCTACACTTTGCTCTTTACAGTAGTCTGCGCTTTTGAAATCTTGGTATTTTTCTTCTTTTATTAATAGACATGAGTTTCCAAGGCCAGTGCTAAAATGATTAGACTCAGTTAGAGATTATTCTGAATATGCCTTTTCAAAAAAGCTTGTTGAAAACCTTTTTAAAAGAGTAAGTATTAAAAGTCTCCCGATTAGAATGCTTCAGTTAATATTTACGAAGCCTGGTTTACCTTTGTGTTTTTTTGTAGGTCGAATAAAACAACTCATAGAGTTGGATTATTTGAATACTGCCAGTATCCGTCTCTTCATTCTTGATGAAGCAGACAAGCTTCTGGAGGAAGGTAGCTTTCAGGAACAAATCAAGTAAGAAAAATGTTCATCCCCTACACTTAACAGATGAAATGCATATTTGCCAGTCTTTCTCATAACCATCCTTCTTTGACAGCTGGATTTATTCTTCACTGCCAGCCAACAAGCAGATGTTGGCTGTTTCAGCTACTTATCCTGAATCACTAGCTGATGCTCTGACCAGATACATGAGAGATCCAACGTTTGTGAGGCTGAACCCCACTGATCCGAGTCTCCTTGGTAAGTGTAAGGTTCATTTGATATAAAACAGACTAATAGGAATATAGTAAGACCAAAGCATGCGCTTTAACACTTGTGATTTCTTATCGTTTTTCTTTGTAGATGAATCAATTAGTTCACCAAGTGTTTATTCCCAATATTGCTATATTTAAAAAAAAAAAAAATCAACGATGACATTAACTATGTGTTTTTTCCAAAACTTAAAACATTCCACTCTTAAGAAAAGTATCCTGTAGGTTCTTACTTGGTACCTCTGTTTAACTTTGCATTTCTTCTAGTTGCAATGACATGAGTGTTTACAGTGACAATGGCTTTGATAAAGATAGGTGTTGTAGTATAATCTGATCATTTTTTTCCTTAGGCTTGAAGCAGTATTACAAAATTGTCAATTCCCATCCACTTCCTCATAAGACGTTTGAGGAAAAAGTCCGGCATGTGCAGGAGCTGTTCAGCAAGATTCCCTTTAATCAGGCCTTAGTCTTCTCAAATCTGCATAGCAGGTAATAAATCTGAAAAAAAATGTATGAAGGAAGCAGCTATAATAGTCATGAAACATAACTTGGAAAGGCCTCAGAAGTAAAGCTGAAACTAAGCTAAAACTAAAGCTATTCAAATTTCATAACTGAAACAGTCAAAATGTGTAAAAACTATGAAACGTTGAAAAGAATGTGTTTTGTCGTGATGGTGCCTTGTGCATTGTTTAGGCTGATGTGAGAATTCTTATCCCGTTGCACTTTCCCAGTGTGGTCTGCAAAATTTAAGGCAACTGATTTGGCCATAGGAGGAAACTGGCAATTTTGGGATGAAATACTTGTCTGTAAGCACTGAGTGCATTTCAGGGAAGTGTGTTTGGAATTTTGTGATTCTCTAGGTTGAAGTTTGTGCATACATCTGACCTAAAGTGGGAATGTTCAGTGTAAAGTTTGATTTGTAGCTTTGTAGTCTTGAGATCAGATTTTGATTGATCTCCTCTGTGGTTTACCAAGAAGTGTTTTGTAGAATATGAAGAGCAAGAAACAAAGGAAGATAATCTGTTTATAATGTTTATATCAATTTCTAAATGTTTGTTTTTGTCTGTGTAGGTGGCATGAATCAAAGTCAGCGACTTGATGCTATGGCTAAATTAAAACAATTCCACTGTAGAGTTCTTATTTCCACAGACTTGGTGAGTTGGTATTTGGTAGCATATGTAAGATTTGCATAGAAATTTATTTCTCAGCATTAAATTTGACTTGGAATTGAATGCATCTTAAACATATTGATAAAATATGTGACTGAAGAGTACTGTAAGGCATGCTCTCATTATACAATAGAGAAATTGTTGTTTCTGAAACAGATGAGAAAGGATAGAATTTCTGTTGGATTATAGAGATTTGGAGATTTTTTGCAGCGGAATAGAGGTGGTTGCACAGTAGCTTGTTTTGTACAGTGTGCTTCCCAACAGTAAAACCTCAAGCAGCTTTAGGTGAAGCAGGGGTGATGTTTCTTGTCTGAGACTTGAACAGCTTTTATTGTGGTTGGTGGTTTTTGTCTTCAGCTACTAGCTTGGGGTTCTGTCATGCTGTGGATTAGAGCTTTTGGTGTTGGGAAGAAATACATTTGTATTTGTGCAGAAGTCACAAGCAACACGATCCTGCAGTCACACAGTCCCCATGTTCATCCTAGTTCTGTGTGTATCAGAGCTGACTGGAGAGTTGGCTGCTGTGTAGCGTGTTGCAGTGAATAGAAGTTTCTCAAAAAGCACTTAACCCTCAGTGTGTTGGGATATCTCTTGAGAGATTTGCTCGGTATATTCACTTATTCTCTCCTCTTGTTTTTCCCAAGACATCTCGTGGAATTGATGCTGAAAAAGTGAATCTAGTCATCAACCTGGATGTTCCTGTGGATTGGGAAACATACATGCATCGCATTGGCAGAGCTGGACGCTTTGGTAAAACAATGACATAATGTCAAGTTACTGAGCTTGAGCTCTTTTTTTTTTTTTTTGGCGGGGGGAGGTCTCGTTGGGTAACTGTTTCTACTGTGTATCATAGGAACTCTGGGTTTGTCTGTGACATACTGCTGCCGTGGAGAAGAGGAAAACATGATGATGAAAATTGCACAGAAATGTAATCTTCGACTTCTTCCCTTGCCAGGTATGTTGTGCTCTGGGAGTGCAGCTGTGGTATTTTGTTGGCTGTTTTCTGCTGCTAATTCAGTGCTCAGTGCAGTCCCCAGGGAACTGAGAGCCACCTCCCCTAACAAAGGCAGCTGTGTTAATTAGTGCAGCCAGATGGTTGGCACCCAGTGCTGCTGACCTGCTGTGAATGGGCAACTGCTGCAGCTGTGCAGGGCAGGGGAACTTGAGGAATGTCCGTGGGTCTGGGCGTAGAAGGAACTTGGCATCCAGCTGCTGTTCAGGCATCTATGTAGCTACATGGATTTCCAGAAGCTGTTCTAACACAGAAGCAAGTTACAGAACAGCAGTTCTTGTCTAGTACTAAGCCTTTCTCAGGCTGTAGTGAAAGAAAGAAAGAATTGGAATGACAGACTTGCTACATAGGCTTTGTCAGAAGACCAGGTGTGTTTTGCTAGGAACTTACTTATCCTTCCTCATGTTTTAATCTGAGTACAATATGCTAGAAAGCCTATTCATAGTCCGGTGCTTATTGTGTTATTCAAGCTTCTTGATGACTTCTGTGAAGAAAATGTTCTGGCTATTTGAGCTCTTTCAAGAAGTGAAAAGATGAGTTTATAGCCCTGGCTTAACATCCTTTACTGTATTATTGGTGGTTCTGTAAAGCTTGGCTTTGTTGGAGTTCTCAAAGGAGGGCTGCACTTACTGAGTGCCTGCTTGTTTCCCTCTCATGCAGAGCCCATTCCTCCTGGAATGATGGATCAGTTTGAAGGTTGGGAGGTAGAAGTCAAAGCTGCTGCACACACAGATGCTTCCGTGAGTTCTGACACTGTGCTGCCTGGCCCAGAGGAACCGACAGAGCCACCAGCCCAAAGTCACGTGGCAGAGATACCCCGGGCTCATCCTGATCTTCCTCGTGATCGTCCTGTGGACAGGCCAAAGAAGACTCCGAAGCAAAAAACAAAAAGATGCACAAATTCAGCAAAAATAGAAAAAAGTAACCCCCAAACTTCCAATTGCAGCACAAAACAGAGGAATCAAGCAGGAGCTGTCTCCAAAGCGGAGAAACAAAATATTGCTAAGGCTGCAGATGAGGGTGTCTTAGATCTTCCTAAAATTCCGTGCTTGTCAACTTTCAAAACCCAAAGGCACAATGATTCCTGGAGTTTCTCAGAGTTTGTTGAAGACTATGAGTATTTCCTTAAAGAAGGACTGGAGAGGGATGTGGAAATTTTAAGAAGTTACTCAGGCCCGGAAAAGCCATGTGCACTTCCCAGAAATGGTGCTGTAGAGTGTAAAGATGTGGAAGATACTGTAGAGGCAGTAGGAAATGATGATGTGTCTGTGGATAGTGATAGTTCGTACAGTTCCAGGGCCTCCTCTAATAGCAGGGAAAATAACTCATGCTTTGAAGTGTTCTCAGATGTACCAGAAAAGAATGTTCCCAGCACAGGTCAGAGTTTTACAAGCTTCTCTCCTGCGCCAGAGGAGCCTCAGGAGCCATCACAAGTGTCAAAGCCAAATCAAATGAAAAAGAAAGTTCTGAAACAAAATGGTAAACAGAAGAGAAGTAATTACCACCAACTCCCTAGCCCACATCTGGAAGAAACTGAAGACAACAGCTCGGGCAGCCCTTGGGGTGACTGTGTTCCTGGCTTTCCCCATGAATCTTGGAATTACAAGAAGTACTGGAGATCTTACTATCAAGCGTGGCAAAACTACTACGCTGCGGCGTCTCGCAGGCACTACAGGAACAGCTACAGCCACTTCAGCTGCGCGAACGCCTTCCACGTCAACGCGGTGTATCTGCAAGAGCTGCTGAGAGATGATGGTTGATGCTGCTGCTGGGCTGGTGCAGGGAATGGACCTACCTGCAAGTGTAACTGCAACTCCGGGGACGCGTTGTTTAAGTTGGAAGAAAAATATGTTGTCTTTTTTTTTTTTTTTTTTGAAAAGCAAGTTATATCTAGGCAAATGTTTATATGCATTCCAAGTGATGGTGTTACAACAAGTTCTCAATAAACAGAAATGAATGATACAGCTGGATGTTCACTTGCAATCTTTAAAATAAGAGGTAAATGAAGATGGAAGGCAGTCACTTATGTGTAAGAAGTCTCAGTAGAAAGGAAAAAATTCTAAACCCATCTCAGTTTTATTTGTTTTGTTTTTTTATGTAAATTTTAGGTGAATGTGAATTCACCGAAGTTGCTACTTATAGCTAGAGATCTTAAACAGAAGGCAATGACTGTCTGCCAGTTAAGCAGCAGCCATTCTGCATCTCACTGTATATATGGATAATTTTAGTCAGGTTAATTAACACTATATAAATAACAGCTAGGTGTATCACAAGCTGTGCAGTAGAGGATGGTTTAATTATGTGTAATATGTGCAGCTATCATAATTGGTCTGTCTCTATGGATGCAGCCTTATCAGACTTGCCACGCTTACTAGAAAGCTTTAATTAGATATGAAATTACTTATTAATACTAAAACTAATTAGTATTTCCTGTTTGGGTTGCAGTGCTTTTGAGTCTAGCTGTGTTGAAGCAGGAGAGGTTCAGGAGTACTGCTTGGCTTTAGGATATTGGTGCTGGATTGACTCTTCTGAGCGACTCTCAGAATTTATTCCCACCTTTATGTTTGGGATCGCTGAAGCAGTTTTTCAGTGAAGCAGAGTTCCTTTTGAGAAATGTAAGTTTTCATTCCGATGATTGAAATAAATCCCTGTGTGTGTTCTAAATGTTGTTGCAGTGCTAGCTGTAGATCCTGCGAAGACCCTGCTGCTGCTTTTGAGAACTTCCCGTGAAATAGTGGCTCCAACCTCTATGGTACCCACTTCAGAGTCTTCGCTCGGCAGGAGAATTGTGAAACTAGCATAAGAGTAGCATAGAAATTGAACATAAAATTGGGTGTGATCTTTACCCTCCGCTACGGGCGTTTGCTCCCTTCAGGTAAGGAAAGGGGGTCCCCTAGTGGGTGTCAGCTCTTCTGCAAGCAGTAAAACGCACTCGTGTCAGTTGGGATGTTAGTAGGAGCTGCTGGTAGACGTTGGAGCTCCTGTAATAATAGAACCCAGTTTCTATTTAGAGTATTTTGACATTTTAAAATAATTAATACCTTGTAAAGTGATGCTTCCCTATGGTTAAATATGAAATCCATTTAACCTGTTTTGCCCTTGAAGCGAACTGACTGTCTGCAGATTAGAATGCAAGACTTCATTCTGAAGAGAATTTGTAGGGCCAGACTGCCTCTTTTAAAAGAATAATGTAAGGTGTGCTTTTTAAATTTCCTAACAGTCTAGGAAAGGTGACTTTGTCCCTTTTTTGTCTTGTTGTGTCTTTTGTCTTTGTCTGCCTCCTTGTGTCACAGCAAAATTGTTGCAACTGTCATTCAAAAGGAGATTCCTTTAAGAAATACACTTAGGTCTATACACTGCTGTGCTATCATGTCTGTTTTCAGCAGTGGTCATACTGTTGTCATTAATTATGGTTTTAAATACTAAGAACTTTCAAATAAGCAAAGGTGAGTGACTTGGGTCAAACCCCAAAATGCTCCCAAAAACCCTCCCGAGTATTTTTTTGAAGAAATCTACAGCCTCGTCTTAGTATTTGTGGCACATACTCTGTTTAATCCAGATTGGATACATCAGGTACAGCAGTGGCACAAGACTCAATACTGTAAATGATATACAAGTTTCAACATATGCACTACAATTCCAAAAGAAGACAACAGGAAACTTGGTTCTTCTAGAAAGTTGTTCTCAAATGAAGCTACCTGCAGTTTTATACAGTACATTTTGTATCTGTCCTTTTTGATGTAAGCAAAGCCCATTTATTATAGTACGAAAATAGAAAATAATAAGGTTGAGAGCTTATGACGAAACTCCTAAAGAAAACACCAATGCATTGGAATGCCTTACTAATCATCAAAAATATTCCATCACATGTTTAAGGTATTTCATTGGTCCGGGGAGCTCCTGGGAGCTCTGGTCAGAGTTGCAACACAAGTGAGAAGAGCATTCAGTGGGGTTATTCTCACCCACGCAGCTGTGTGTATGACTAGCAGTAGTTAAAATCATAATAAAGACGTGCACACACATACACAAAACTAACAGACTATTGACTGAAAACAAAACTGGAGAAGGAATTTTCACAAACTCTTTGTCATCTGGTCTTTTGATCCTCCCAAAAGCTTTCTGGCACAGTTTTTGCACTCTAAATGGTAGTAGTAGTATTTCTCTACTAAACTTTCTGCAAAGTTCTCTAGAGTATTTTGTAAATGTTCATGAATTAAATGTCCCTTATGGAAAAAGAGGTATTAAAATCTGTATAATTTGTATAACTGGCAAAGAGAGGTGAAATGACTTCTTCGAGGTCACTTAGTGATTCATCAAGACAATCAGCAATAGAACTGGGTTCCTGATGCTAATTTCCTTAGCTGCAGTCAGTCTGCACAACGTCTTGGGATTAATTTAAAGTTTTAGAAGAACAGAACTATTACAAAAGGCATTTATGGCATCATTAAATATGAAGCCTAAAAATTTGAGTTCTGAAATCATGTTTAGTGCAGTTGATCAAAGTGTTGAAGACATATATAAGTAATTTTTGAATGGGTTAACATATGTTTGATAAGTTGCGTGGAAAAGGTGTATTATTCACCTAACTGTAAAGGCAGAATAAAATCTTCAATTTAAAGCTACAACATTGAGACATGTTCTGAAACTATCCATGAATGCTGACTTGTAACTGCTGTAGTCTGGCATAGATAATCCATTGAAACAAGATCAAAGGGATGTTGCAGTTTTTAATGTATTGAATCTGCTTTATAGTATCTATGAGATACAATAAGTTTATATCCTTTCTACTTACAAAAGCAAAATATTCGAACAAACACTTCTTCCTTTAGCTGGTACTAACTTGGCTTTCATGCATATACCTCTAAAGCTATCTAAATTAAAGTGGTAAAGGGCTGGTTTGCAGTACCAGGATGTTATAAACCTTCAGGTTAAGCAAGTAGCATTGGTTCAAAATAAGTAGCTCTGAGATCTGTTTTAAAATAAAAGTGACTTTCCAGTATAACCTTTTGAATTATAGATTCACTTTTATTCTATGGCCTTTTGTGTTGCTTTTCTCCACTCTAACAGTGATAATTTTTTGACATACAAGAGTACTCTGTGGTATAAGGACTCGCTGTAGAATGTTTTATATCCTTCTAATGTTTGTAGGTGGCTAACTTGTCATGTGGGAAGCAGAATAATTTAGCATGATGCAAGAGAGTATAATGACAACAAGGGAAGGAAAATAAGGGAAGAATTGCAGCTGAGTATCAGGGGAAAACTCCTTGACATTAAAGTCTATTAGTCTGGAATAAGCTTTTAAGGGAAGCTGTGGGAGTCTTCTCCCTGGAGAATATTGCATCTGATCTAGAAAAAGCAGTGCAGTATATTGACCTGGAGGATTTGTGCTAGCATGTGGTGGATTAGGCTTTTTTGTTGTGAACTTTTATGTGCTAAGATGTGTTTTCTGTGGCCTCTTCTTTGTGCATATCCTAGGATTTTGAAGGAAAAGAAAAATAAATGAGGTGGGTTTAAGAGTGTAGATGGCAGTGAAAGCCTGACTGGGAAAGGTATTTGTCTTTATACTTTGCCAGTTGGGTGTTTCTTTATAGAATGTGCTTGGTTTTATTAGCAGCCTAATGCCAGCTGAGGAGAGAGAAAATGTATCAGTGGAACATGCTGAAAATTGGAGAATATACTATTCTCCCAAGAAGGATTTTTCAGAGAAAAGAAAATGCTCAGAGAAAGGTGTTGCTCCTTTGGTATTTTAATATTGTTTTATAAAGAGGAAAAAAATAAGAAAAAAAAATAAGCCCCTTCTACTTGCTTTTTGTATAAACAATCCATTTTTCCTTTGTTATGAAGAAAGATTACAAAATGGTGCAAGGAACTGGGAGGAAGAGGAAGGCGTTTGAAACGAGCAGCGCAGTGGCTGTTCCTTGGAGCGGTCCCACTGAGCGGGTTATTTTGCGCTCTCTGCCTTTCAGACGCTGGTCAGGAGCGGAACCTCCCCGTGCTCCCGGGTGCAGCACAAGGCCTGAAGAAGCTCCCTGCCGCCTGCACCGGCTGTGACGGAGGCTGCGGGGGCAGCTCCCTGGGGTTTGTGCCCCAACAGTGCAGGTATCTCGGGGGTGATGTTGGTTGAACTGGGCAAAACTGAGGACTACGGGAGAAAACGGTCCTAGTCCTTCAGTGAAAGTCCTGGGGTAGGAATTTCCAGGTCTATTTCAAAACTGCGTTTAAAGGAGGTAATATCTCCATTTAAAATATTCCCAGCCTCATTCCTCTAGGCTTCCCTAATTTTGTCTGTCCTTATTTTCTGAAAGTCTCTGCTGCGCTAGTGACTGCGTGGGGCAATACCTGCTAAGTTAATGGTAGAAGAGGCAAGCTGCTCATTTTTGAACAAGGATAACAATGTTGTCTACCACTGCACAGTAAATCGGGGAAAAGAAAGGCAGCACTGAGAGTCCACGTTGTGTCCCTGGCTCTTTGCAATCACTTATCCTGTGCCCTGGAAGGGGACAGCAGAATACAGCTTGGTAGCATTACCCCTCATTCTGTGCTAGTGGAAAGGAGGGTGGAAGTGGTGGGGAACAAGGGCTCTGATCTATAAGGCTGAGGGTGTTCAAAGGAACAGCAGATATCATGAAGTTAAACAAAGCAAAGGAAAGACTAAAACACCAAGAAAAAACTCAATAACGGCAAGATTCACTGCAGAATAACCTCCTACAGGAAGCAGAAGGCAGAGTATTTTAGTCATTTAAAACAGGACTAAACATAGTTTTGGATAACATAGTACAGCTTTGCAATAAATGACTATAAGCTAATGCAGCTATTGAAGGCTTAGCCATAGCCCTAATATTCCTAGAATGCTGTAGGTTTCTAAGGAGGGTATTGAGTTAATACATCAGCACTGAGTCTGCTTTATAGACTACTAGGTTAGGAACGCTAACAAAGCGTATTGCTAGCTCGTATGTTTAAGTCAGCGTGTGCATCTACTTATCTATACATGTAGGGGTGTGTGTGTTTGCTTATATGTGTGTGTATATAAATATTACATCAAGATAGATTATGAAAGATGTTTTTTTAAAAAAAAAAAAAAAAAAGGAAAGAAAAGAAAATCCCCTTGCTGAATTGGTTTCAAACAAGCTTCGAATAACTCTGTTAATGGTGTCGTACTGGTAGATCCCTGTCAGAAAGGGGCTGCTGGAAACGCTTCCTTCTCTATCCCTGGCGCGCAGGTCCGAGGGTTCCAGGGCCCGGCACAGCAGGGTGGCCGCGCGCGGCCACGGGAACCACCCGGACCGGGACGGGGCTCGGGAAGCAGGAGCAGGGAACGCTGTTCATGGCTCTGCCGGCCGCGATCGCGCCCGGAACGGGAACGGGGCTTGAGGAAGGCAAAGAAAAAGGCTGTTTTTCCTAGAGGGCGAAAACAGTTATATTTCAGGACCTTGTATCTCCTGACAGTACACTGTTCTAGGAGAGCTGTAGACAGATTGGTTAGAAGTGTTGGCTTCCTGGAAGTCAGTTACTCACAGGTTTTGGTTTACCAGAAGTGTGACTTTTCCCCAAACAAATGTGTAGAATTGCCAAAGAAAGCTCTGTCTGTCCAACTTAGCAAGTGTTTCCAGACTCCAGCACTGCTCCCCCTTGTCAGAGGGTGCCCACGATGGAGCAGGTGCCAGGACTGGCCAACTAAAATGACTAATCTAGCTTACCCAGCAGCATTGATGAGACACCTGGAGCCCCAGGACTGCAAAACGCCAAACACTCCCTGTCCATGCAAGGTATTTGGCTCTAGGGTTAACTGTTACCAAGCATAGATCCAGACATTATTTGGCTACTATTTACAAGGGGTTGTATGTCCAGTGCTAGCAAATTCATATTATAGAAAACAAAGCCAAAAGGCATAGGCATATATTACAGGGAACAGCTGTCAGACTTATGAATGCTTGAAGTAGCCGAGTTCAGTGCTTTCTCATTCTTTACCATTTTTGTGTACAATATTAAAAAAGAATCCTATTTTTCTTTTTTTAAAAATACAGAACTGATAGTCTAGTCAGTCTTACAAGTAAGTGATAACAAAAATAGAAAGCAGATATCCATGTGGGACTAAAACTCTACTAAAGCCTGTCTTTGTTTTTTTTTCCACAAATATGTTTTCACAGACAGTAATTAGCAGACAAACACACAGTTTGCAATTGCACTGTATTGACTTAAAAGGCGAATACAAAATTTTCTAAATAAAGAATGCCATCCAGGTGGAACAGGGCTGTGTGTGTGCGCGTGTGCGCGGCCGCGCCGCTGCCGCGTGCGTGTTCGGCCGTGCACCCGGCCAGGCCAACGTGCTCTGCCCTTTGTGGTGCTCGGACGTGGCTGCTGCACACGCGCACGCACACACAGCGGGGCATGGAAACAGATTTCTGTGACAGGTGGCTTCTTTGTCTAAATCTTTTCCTATAAAAGAAAAAAAAAGTGAAATTTTGGTTGGTTTAAAGGTTCTGCTCCATGAAGAAAAACACAAAATCCATTGTTTTTCACCTTTTTCAGTCATTTCCTCATGAATAAATATTATCCATTAAAAACCTTTAAAAAGGTGCTGCGATACACAGTGTTATATTTCCGTTTTCTTTATTGACTCTGCCGTTGCTATGATGGTTCTTTCCCTTCGGCCTCCATAGGCGCTTCCTCCTCCGTACTGTGGCACAGCTCTCTCCCTGCAGGATTTTCCTTCCTCCTCTTCCTCCTCAGTCCACAGCATCAAGGTGAGTCTGAAGAAGCTGCCTCATTAGGTCTCCATTGCTCATTCCGCGACAGAAACATCAGGTTGGTCCATCCAGGCACAATTTGCAGCAAAAAAAGGAACGTGGAGGCGCGCAGGGAGAGGGGCCCCGCTCTTGCAGCCTCTTTCTCTGCACGAGACGTCCTACAAGGCAGAGACCTTGACCACGTTGGCGGCGCTGGGCACGGCGCGGCCGGGGCTGCCGGGCGGCGGGCGGCTCTCGCCCTCGGGCGTCAGCGCGGGCGGCGTGGGGATGCTGATGATGGCTGTCGTGATCTGGGCGCTCTTGCAGTTCGGCCGCAGCCCGTCGTCCGACTTCATGTTGAGGCTGGAACGGCTGCAAAACAAACCGAGTTGGGGGTTGTTTGGAGCGGAGCGGAGGAAGGATGGGAAAGGCAGCTGCTCTTCAGCAATTGTCCTCTGAACTAGGGGCATGGAGGTGTTGCAGGAGGATCCACTTAATTGCTTCCCCAAACACTTGCTAAGCATCCTTAATTTCTACTGAGTTTACACTAAGCTTTTTTAATATCCCTCAGGTTAGGATACAGCTTTCCACAGGGCAAATCATTTTCTGTTTTCATTCTTCAATACATCTGTTATAATTAAGAGGACACTTAAGTACCCTGTACTTTGTACAGCATCTTTTTCAGAACATGGGTGTATCTTTCTGAGAAAAACCTTGTCTTCCTTGTGGTTTGAATGCTGCTTCTTTTTACTCTCCCTTAATCTTTTTAGGTTTTTTTCATCCCCTTGCAACAGTCTCAGGGATCTGGCAGCTGGGAGCGTTTTTATTAGATCTGCATCAATTGTACCCTGTAATTAATTACAGAGGGAAAATGATAGGTTGATTTCTGTGCATCTGCATAGCTGCAGGAGTCTGCTATTACCAGCCCAACATGTTCATTTTAAACACAGGGCCTGTTGTTTTAAAATGTAAAGCTCCCAGTTGGAAAGCTATTGCTGTGGTTATCGCACAGTGACTCACCGAGAGGCTTTTTTGCACTCTCCAGCATCCCGGGAGCACCTGGAATCCGTTCTGTTCCCCCGCTTATCTGGGCCTCAAGCCGAGTCCCCCAGGGCAGCCTCTGCTCCCGGGTGGCTCTGCCCATGGCCCAGGGAGCTGCATTCCCCAGGCCAAGACCCCCGTTTGCTCCACGTGACAAGGAACCTGCAAGCCTTTTCTTTCCCCAGCCCTTTGGGGACGTGCCAATAAACGTCCTCTCGCACTGGTAGACTCAGCAGAAGGATTTCCAGAAGTCTGGGAAGCTGCCTCCTGCCTCCATAAAGATACCCAGTTTTGGCATCTCTTGCCCTTCTGCAACCTCCCTGAGCAGGGATAGAGCAGCCCTGATGAGCGTGGTTCAGGTGGATGGTGCAGGTCCTCACAATATTCCCTCTCTGCTCTTATGCAGATTGGTAAGCAAGTGAAATAACTAACAGTGCTGACAGTTAAAATATCATAGCTGACATCTGGTTGAGCACCCCTGGAACAGAGCACTTCATTTGCCTGAGTTATTGTTTCAGGTGCTGGCTTAAATGTCTGTCACCTTGAAAGGAGGAAGCCACAGGCTTGTTTTGTGCTTGTTTGTTCCAGGTCCGTCCTCCGAAATGCCCTTCTGCCTTCACCCTGGCACAGAGCGCTCCTGTTGCCCTGGGGGCAGCTTCATTTCAGTTTCCACATCCTTTTGATAGCAGTGAGGAGAGGAATGCTCATTTCAAAAACAGCCCCGTGCACAAGAGGCTTAATGGGCTGAAGGGAATTTAGAAAGTCATTTAATACTTGCAAGCAAGATAGAGTGAGGAAATGATTTTTCAGCAAGTTATATATAAAATGACACGCTCAATTTCAAAATTGTCTATTGAGAGAGACATTTCTTCACCTGTGGAACTAAGAGCTCTTTATGGGAGAACTCCTGAGGCACTGATGTGAATTTCCTCCTTAGCTGTTTCCTAGTGATGCCTGTTGCTTACAGTTGTAATTCAGGCTTTTGGACAATGGAAACTGATGGAATGAGTTTCCCTGTGGATCAGGACAGCATGTGCAGCGCTCCGCTGGCTTTCACATGTGGACACGGATGAACCCGTCTGCCCGCCTGGCCCGGGAAGGTCCTGGGCTACCGGGGAGCAGAGTGACACTGCGCAAGCCCTGGTGACTGGGGGCAGCGCTGACTGCGGCCGGAGCTCCTTCCAGTGTCCCTGTTCTTGGGGCCCTGCTAGGAGGAGGCAGACACAGACACCGCCAGCTCCAGGCCTCTCTGGAGAATCCGCCTGCGGGAACCTGCCTGAATTCGGAACCTGCCTGAATTCTGGCAGAGGCTCCTACCTCGTGGTGAGCGAGGGCTGCTCGCTGCACTGGATGTGGATGGTGCTGAGCTCCTGCATGCTGCGCAGCCGCGTGGCCGGCACGCTGCAGTTGGGCAGGTGGGTGCTCTTCTTGTGGCGCCGCGAGCAGCAGGACGTGGCCAGGCCGTGGTGGCTCGACAAGGACGGGCTCCGCGACGACGGGTAGTTCTGCATCGAGCTCTCCATGCAGTTTTGCTCAAACAGCTGCTCGTCGATGAACTCGTGGTTCTGGCAGGAAAAACAGCAATGTCATTACTCGCCGTGGCAGCGGCTGCGACCGACAGCAGTTTTCTTGGAGTGGTGCATTTTGCTAGCCTGGTGGGATGGGTCAGCCCCCTGTGCGCGTAGGGTGCTCTCTGCCCTGCTCCTGGAAAGGGTTGCAATAGGTAGAGCTCAAGAAAGAAACGCAACAGGAACAGAGGAAGAGGTGACTTTGCCCTTGCACTCACTACAACCGAGAAAAGGTTTTGCTGTCCTGAATCAATATGGGAATAAGAGAAGCTGTTGCAGTGACAAAAGCATGATAATCTGTCAATACTGTCTTGTTTACACAGTCTGACATGGTTAATATATTGTCTGATTTTCCTTTCACACGTATATCTGGACCCCAGAGTGGCTTCAAATGGTCTGTGACGCCACATGGTTATTAAACCCCACGGGAGGGGAGATTCAGGCGCCCTGGGGCCAGGATGGTACTGTGTCTGGAGGACTGTCTTGCCAGGTCAGTTTACTACAGGATGTCCCTTGTACTTGTTGGGTGCAAAGCATGCCTGCAGCACTGGTAGAAATAAGCATGGCAGCTGGTAGGGGGAAGTGATGGGGAAGTTCAGAGAACTGAATCTTGGAAGTGTTTTTTTTGTCCTAAACAAACAATATCCTGAAAGGAAGAACTCTTATGCACATGTATGAACATCCACATCGTTCTAATGCACATACTTCATCCAGTCCCTGTCAGCAGCAGAAAGGATGGGAAACAAAAGCAACCAGGGTGGAGGCAGCCACTGATTTCCATGGGAACCACTAAGGACTCTCAGGATAAACAAAGGCACCGGGGAGCAAAAGAACCACGTGCACAAACTGCCCGGGACAAGACCAGGGACCAGAAAGGAACCAAACACTCCAGACACGTCACAGCTCATAGAACAGATTGAATTGAAAAGGAAATACCTTGATGGTGGAAGTTCGTACAGATAACAGGGGATCATCCACAAGATAGGACAATCCCTACGGGACAACATGCCAACAAAAGATAAAAACACATTTGATTGACCATTCCGGCATTCAGAAACTTAGTCCCATCATTGCATCCTTTTGTCACAGTATTGCAGCTATATTGCTCAAGTTTGAATGGACAATTGGACCTTCTCTTTGCCAAACCTTGCCTGAATCAGACCTCTTTGTTCCTTCATTCTTACACGTAAGCTTCTTAATGTGCTCTCCTTGAAAATAAGACAAGACTGTGACAATTTGATTACTCAGATCTTTTGAGAGCACAATGCAAAGGAAAACAAAGTTTGTGCTGCTGATTCACAACACAAGTAAGCAAAATCAGAATTGTCTGTCATTGGATCACCAATGGGTACGGTTCTCATCATATGCTGCAGAAAGGTTTGGGCTGAAGGATTGGAGTCAGCCCACATAGCAGTGGGAGAAAATACAGCTTGTGAATGTCCATGTTCCATCTGGAAGGAGCAAAGAAACTCCTTTTGTTTGCACAACCCCCCTGTGTTGTGTGGCAAAGCAGCCCTTGTTGACCTCAGAGTCACTTTGTCTTCTGGGGCACCAGATTTGTGAGCCATTCACAGCCGTTTCAGGGTAAGACTTTAGTGATAATTGCAGATACCATGAAAATAAATCCAGTATTTTCAGAATCCTTCTGCCAAGTTTAAGGAAAGGTGAATTGCCCATTGAAACAAGTTTGCAACCGTGGTACGTTCCTCATTGCATTCCACCTGCAACATGTATCATCATCACAAAAATGACTCTGCAGTGTTTAAAAATTCTTGTACTATGATTTAATGTTTTGAGGGGAGAGGTGTTGCATAGTATTTTAATAGATTATGTGCATTGAAAGGAATTGCCACACAAGGTGAGTGAGCTATTTTGATTGATATTTCAGACAAAAATTCAAACTTGCTTACATGGTTTGATGCAACATAATCATAATAACTGCCTGAAAAATGGGGAGGGGAAATATTGTGCAGATTCTCCTGCTAGATTTTCATGAAAATTCAAAGTATCGTTACTATTGTCACTCTTTACAGAAAAAGACAACGTTTGGAACATTTTCAACCACTGAGACTCACCTTTTGAGTAGCTTTGGCTGCTGGAGGCAGTCTAGACTTATTTTTGCACTAGGCTAATACATCCACAAAGGAGGATATGACACTGCTGCATTGCTTCCAGCACCCAAACTGGCTCATCAGTGATGGAGCGACTCATGCAGCTCCCAATGCAAAATGAAGTTTACAAATGGAAGTGTTACTTGTGAAATACAGGTCACAGTAGTGAAGCTTTTAAGCACGGAGTCCTAAAGTAAGGAGCCAGATTGTGAAATGTCTGCATGTTATGTAGCAGCCAGAATGACTAGAAACAAAGGCAAGATGAATCTTACAAATCAACTCGGTTATTGATACAGGAGGAATCAGTTCCCTCTCCCTGAGGGCGACCACCCTCCTCCTGGTGACAGACCAGCTGTGCTCAGCAGGTCGGTGCCATTAACAAGTCGGCATCTTCCAATGCTGCCTAGATGTGTAACTCCAGCATAGAGCAAACTATGAAAGTGGAGGCAGTTTATCTTAAAAGAAAGCTCTTGCAAGTCAGAAATCAGAAGTACATTTGATGATGGATGCAGACAGAAAACAGCATTAATATTTCAAGTGTTAACCTCTCTCCATTCCTTCTAGAATGAACCATGATAAAATGCTCCATGTTATAGATTGTGTTCCCCTACTGCAAAACCTCTTATACAGACCTGGAAGTAAAACATATTAATGACATAAATATCTGAAAGTTTCCAAGAGAATTCTGCATGTATAGAATCACTTAATAATGAAGAATAAAACTCTTACTCCAACACTTTGTGTGGCATAAACAGAAAGTCATTGCAGCAGAACCTGCTTGACTGGCTTTGAGATAAATTACCTGCTCTTGCAAGCAGAGCTCTGCAGCCTTTAAACCCATTAAGAGCACTGCTCTGATCCCTAGGAGGGGCTGAGGGTTATTTTGGCCAGCTGATTTGCATCAGGGTCTAGGTGGAGTCCCTGACATCCTCTTCCTCCTCTAAGACAGCAGAACTGTCCAAGGTGACCAGCTGGCACAAGCAACACTGTGCGACTGACACCACAAATGCAGCTTAGCTCTTTTTCCAAAGCTCAGGGGAAAATTCAGTTTAATGGAGATCCGACAGACAAGGTGGATATATCTCCTTGCCTGCTGATGTCTTTTTGGCATGCAGCTGAACTGGGCGGTTTGGGCAATTTACCTGTGACTTTGTACTGGTGTGGATGCTTGTGCAGCTTTTTTTTTAAGAAAGTCTCAGTAAAATGGAAGGGTATTTGGCCCACTGCAGAATGTTGCTAGGAACGTGTCAGCCCCCTTTGGCGCCGTGTGTGGGTCTGCCAAGTACAAGCTGCTGTTTGGAGCCTACTTCAGTGCCCTCTTTTCTACACAGAGACTCAAGAGGGAGAAGGGTTGTATTTCTACTTACAGTTGTTTTTTCCAGGCAGTGCAGCAGGTGGTGATGTTGGCTCTCAATTAGGGAGGTGCCTTTAGTCATGTGCTGCTCATCATCAGTGGATCCCTAAATAGCCGGAGAAAGGGGGGAAAAAAAACCCAAACCAGCTGTAAAAGTGTGAAAACAAACACAACTAGCAGCATTAGCTTTCACAGGGAAAGATAACAGTTTCAGTGTTGCTAGCTCTTAAGCTCTTATCATGAGTCTTGCATTTCCTCTTTTATTTTTTCTTGATAAAGTGATTTATAAGCTCACAAGAGGATCTCAGTTTTGGTTCCAAAACTGTGTGTTTCCATCTATTTTGTAGCTGTGGAGGAAGCCTGGGAGATGCTGCTGACATGGTGCAAAAGCTCGGGGACCAGAAGGTAAAGAAAAAAAAAATCTCCTAATTTTTGTTTTTCCAAAACTTGTTAAGACCCTTAAGCTTAATGTGACCCTTGAGTGCCAAAGGGTGTCCCCTGAGCTCTGGTGTCCGTAGAGGCGGCCTGGCCGTGCTGAGCTGGGACCCTGCTGCCCATGGGCACTTGCACGTGGGGTTGCCTAAACCTGGGGAGTTTGGCAGGATCGGGGAACGTGATCCTGGATGTCGTGTGTGGATTTCCCTGCTTGCAACGCCGTTCTGGGAGACGGGGCTCGTGGATCTGCCTCCCTCGCTAATGCGCGGCCGCCTGGTTTTTTTTATATATATATATGTGTGTGTAAATTGTCCCGTTGAAGCCTGGAATGCAGCGGCATCGCGGAGCAGTGGTAGGGGCTCGCACGGAAGGCGGCAGCAGTTTCCTGGGAAAGGGAGGCCCCGTCGGTGCCAGCTCCTGGGCTGGGTGGTTTGAACCCCTAGGGTGGTTTCTGCGGCTGCGTTTCATTAACACAGGGCCTGGGAGCCCCGGGGCTGAGCAGGGCCCCTCTGCACAGCCTGGCACCAAGCAGGACAGGGCAGACCTGTGCCAAACGCTCGTGATCGCAGCACTGCCGTTATTCAAGTATTTTCAAATATATTCACTGTACTGTAACACCTGACAGCCCCAAGCGGAGTGCAGCTTTTCCTTATCTCCCCTGTGTACAGAAATGGTTCAAATATGGCACAACAAATTTAGAAGCTAATTCAGCGTAGGGTGTGTTTGGATCTGACCAGGCAGTTCGTGCTCTAGGAGGGGCCTGGGCACAGCTGAGAGCGCTTAGACTGAACCGGTACGAAAGGACCGGCCCCTCCTGGAAATTCTTTTATTAATTAAACTTCCTGATCTTGAAATTCACTGTAATTTCATGGCACATTTTCCAGGATCTATGTGCATTACTCTGGGTGTATCTTTAGTGATTAGCATTTTCAAAGACAATGAGATGCATTAAAATGGCAATTAGCAGTTAGAAAATGTTTCTGTGTGCCCTCTGCATAAAGGGTGCTCAGTATCCTCTGCAGGGCCTAAATATTAAAGTCAGAAATTGCTGTGTGTGAACTGAGTATCTGCTGAGACACAAAAGTGAAGTATCTGACTGTTAGGAGAGAAAATGGGTGGGATGGGAGAGGCAGCAGAAATCCTGGCAGAAGTGCCAGGACTTTGTCCTTTGCTCTTATGGGGGTCAAATGCAGCTGTGCTTTGCGCATTGATTTTTAAATACTTCCATATGTCCTAGTTACTCACTGAAAAATTGTGTTCTGGATGCTATTCACACAATGGTTCTGCATTCCTAAACGGAGGAATAACTGTACCTCTGACAGATGCCAAAACATAGCTGAGCTGATTTTTCTGTATAAACAGTATCTTCCTATTGGAAAGCGGCTTAGGCAGGTTATGTATTTTGCTGTTGTTGTTTTGGAAGAGAAGCACCTCAGAAATATTTTTGGAAGTGGCCTAAAAAAGGTCAGTTCTATTTTTCTTATTCATAGCTTTCCTGGTGAACCAACACATCAAGCAGGTTCTGTTCCTACCCTGCAGAGATTAGTGACTGCTGAAGGCTGTGCGGGAATGTTTCCCGTGGAGCTCCTTCCTCCTAAAACAAGGCAGATGCTGCGCTAAGACCCTCTGGAAAAGGAGAAAGAGCAGATACTGCAAGCAGCATCTCAAGGGTTCACAGCTCTTTCCTGGTCAGCTGTGTTTTGGAGCAGGTGTAAGGGGCATTTGAAAGCAGAAGGTAGAGGCAGGGCTTCCCTGCCCCTGTTTGAAGACCTTAAATCAAATATAAAGCTCTGGCAGCACCGTTTGGTCTGGCCCTCTGCATCCCAGCAAGAGGAGCAACTCGCAGCTGATGCAAGCAGATCAAGGGATGGAAATAGGGGTCCCACCAGCGAGGCCCGTTCCTGCTGTATCTTCCTTTCAGCTGTTCTTGGGCCAGCGCTTGCAGAACCCAAGAGCATGTGGGTGCCCAGGGAGGAAGGGGAGCTGCAGGGAGATGCCCATGGGGGTCACCAGGCGAGGACACCTCGCAGCCCGTGTTCCCAGGATCTCCACCTTCCAGCTGAAAGGGAATTTCAGCTAGCTCTACAAGGAGATTAACAGTAAGAGGATATGTAGGCTGCTGCCGCGGGAAGAAGCTCGCCATCCCTTGAGCACTTCTGACGTAAAAGCCACTAACACCACTCGCTTCCCCTGTCTAAATGAGAAGAGAAAGCTCTGAGCACTTGGTGTCTAGATGGTGAATGCGAAATGTCACAAATCCCCCCGTGTTTCTGAAGCAAGAGCCTGTATTTTCTCTAGGAGCAAAGGTTCTTCCTGCTGCTGTCCTTGTGTGAAGTCTTTCCTTCACTTTATCTTTACTTGGGTGCAAGGCTGCAGACGTGCTCGATAGCTTACACCGAACCAATTTACTGATGGATGAATTCAGTGATTCACTCTGGTGCTGATGAGAGGAAATCTGGTGCGTATTTCTGAATCCCGGGCAGTCCTTGGTTCTCAGTTTATTAGGGCCGTACCCAGGACGGCGGCGCCCGCAGCCAGCGCCGCTGCAAGGCGGCGAATCCGGCCTAGGGCTGCGCAAAGCCCCTTAACCCGGGTGAGGCCTGGGCGCGCCAGGCCAGGCCCCGGCTCTCATGGAACCGGGCCAGCCACCGGCACCAACCCGGCCTGCACCAGCTGCAGGGCCCCAGGCCCAGCGCCACACGGGGGACATGGCCCTGCGCCAGGGGAACAAGGCCCTGGGCCAGGGGGCGCGAGCATGAGGCAGCTCTGCCCGCCCCATTAAACCTTCTTCATCTTGCTCTTCGCTTCCTGTGTGCGCTAAGGGCTGCTTTATTGGAAATTAAATCTCTGAAATGTGCTAATACCTGCTCTGGTCTTGATGGGGCTTAGTGTAATAACCTCTGTTTTCACGGGTGTTGCTGAGCAATCTGACACTCTTTAACTTCTGTGTCTCATGAATAGCTGTAAGCCTACAGATGCCTTCCTGCTGCAAGTGAGCCCCCCAGCAGATTGCCTGAAATGGGAATTATTTTCTTACTGTGCCAACAGTTAGCGATGAAGCACTTGTAATAATTCCACAGCCGCTGCTGTGAGCAGCGTCACCTCAGGCATCGGCTCCTTTGTGTTTTCCCGTTCCTTCCCCGCTCCGGGCAGGTCGGAGCCATGGAAGCGCGCGCTGCCGGGCCGCCCCTCGGCGCGCGGCCGCATTCAGCCGCACGGATGTGAGTTCTTCCCTGCGTGGCTCGTGATAATATCCCTTAGAAAAGTGGGAATGGGTGAGGCTTTACTGAGCTATTTCTGAACAGAACGCTGTGCTTTAATAACCATGGTACAAGGCACATATTAGAGAGGGACTCTTAAAAATAAACAACTGCAGATATTTATAGGAAGGGCAGGCCGTCGGGAGTGTAACTCAGTAGAGCTTCCACAGTTTCATCACACAGAGGGCTTTGTGAACCCAAGCTGTTAATATGGACGAAGGCTGGATGCTCTCCTAGCTCAGGAAAGTGTGGGGTTTTTCTTGTTTTGGGGTTTTTTGTGTATTTTTTCTTCTCTCCTCCAGTCCTGCAGCTGGATCCAGCTACCCTGACATACAGTGCATTAGTTATAGCACAGCCCCGCTCGCGTGGGGCTGCCGCGCTGCAATGCGCGCTTAGGGGGCAACGGATGGGGAGCGGGAGGGAGAGCAGGACGAGGGCCGGGATCGGGGCAGTTCTCGAGCTCTCCCGCGGAAGGAGCGGTTTCCGTGCACTCACCGTCAGCTCCAGGGCTTCGTTGAGGAGGCCGTTGCGCTTGCTGTGCAGGTACGCGTTGGAGCTGCCCGTCTTGGCCACGCGGATCCTCGCCAGTCGGGCTTTCTGTGGAGACAAGCGAGCTGCGTTTATACCAGGGCACATGCAGCAATCACTCCTGCGCTACCATCGCAGGGGAAGGAAATTGATGGTTCTTTTCACACTAGAAAAACCCTGGGGGTGAAATACAAGATGTTCAGAGGCAAGACAAAGCTGATGTCGAGCAGCTAACGTTAGGTCTGTTTCCAGCTTGTCTATAGGGCCCAGAGGACCACATCTATCTGCAGAACAGTGTCTGCTACCGTGCGTTGATGCTCTTTGCAGAGATAGGAAATGGGGCCCCTGCAGGTTTATCTTTTTCATGTGTTCTCGGTGACTTTGCAGGGAGTGAGAGGTGCCGCAAACAGCGCTTGGCTTGGACGTGTTCCTGGCACGGGAGGGCTGTGTGAGCAGGGCGACCGCGCGGTGCAGCCGCGGGTCCGCGTGCGCGTTGCGCTCGGGACGGCCCCTCTGAGGTGCCGGCCTGCCTGCGGGTCCGTATTCACCCGGGTCCATCCTTGGGCTCCGTGCTCGGGGGCCTGTGTTGTCACGCGGTCTGCTCGGGCAGCAGCCAGCGCAGTGACACCCAGCCCCGGTGCTGCTGGAGATGCTGCAGGGCACGTGGGAACAGAGGTACGGGGAAGGCGAGGAGGTCCTGAGCGTCACTTACTAGCCAAGTAACGTAGCTTGTTAATTTAAAATTGGGAATACCAATGGAGAAGTCTGTGTGTACCATTTCCTTGTGGGAGAAGGTACCTCATGCATCCTCTGGCCTCTGCAGTAGCAGTGGTACTTCACTAGCTTTAGTATCTGCTAATATAAGACTGTGTTTATCCAAAAGCAGCCATCGCTTGACCCCAGACACGAGCTGCTCAGCAACAACACGGAGAATCGACTCTGAAAGAACAACCCACTCTTTGCAAATATTTGTTTATCCCTCACCTTGGCCCTAGAAAGACAAATTCGATGATTAAAAAAAAGGGGTCCTGAATAAGGCAAGGAAGAAAAACCACGAAGGCCCTCTTCCCTTTTGATCCTAGTTTTTAGCTTTCCACTTTGTCTTTTCAAATGCTGCCTGCTTTTCTGTCAAGTGCTGATTTGCCTTTTTCTTTTTACTGTTAATTTATGACTCAAACACCATTAAAAGTAAATACATGAAATAGCTGTGGCTATTAAAAATAATTACATTGTGCTGTATTTTAAAATGCATAATCTTTTAAATAACATGGAACTCGTGATTTTTCCTTTCTAATTAGAGGTGCTAATGGGTATACACTGTAGGAAGAGTAAAGCCAAGAGGCAAATATCTGCAGCGGGCCTGGAGAGCGTAGTAATTCCAAGAGCTCTATTACGCTACACGTACGAGTGACTCTGGCCCTCAATATTTAACCTCCAGAGCTTCTGCTGGAGCATGCAGTTTCCTGGGCAAAACCACGCGCAGAATATTGGTTTGCAGCTTTACGTGGAAGCAAAGAGTGACCAGCCTGAAAAACAGAACCACTTTCCTGGCCCTAACCTGGGGAGGCAGCGAGCAGAGGGTACGAGACCGAAAGGCAGATCCACGTGCTTAGGAGATGGAAGTCCTCTGTTCCTGTTAATTACATTTCCACGAAGTTATTTAATCCCTTTTCAAGCAGTATGCCTTTGTGTCTCTGCTCGTCACTCTTCACAATTAACTTATCTCTCCCTTAATCAGACTGGGTATTGGATCCAGTGTTGGTCTTTTCACTGAGGCTCTGCTGGCAACCACAGAAGTCTCTTCCTTCCTTTCTGTGATTTACAGAATATTGGCTCTGTGCTGCAGGAAACACAGGAGCCCCCCAGCATGCCCACCTCCCATGCAGCAGGAAAGGTTTCATCCTCATCTTCAGTTGCTATCATCATGAGTTCAGTTAATTGTTAAAGTGGATTCAGTCCTAGGCTCTTGTAATGAACATTATTCCCTTTGCCTCCGGGCTAGCAGGAGATCAAATATTAATAGCTGTACTCCACATGGACTGGAGATGGTTCGTCTCAAAGATCTGTTCCCTTTTCTTCTTTGAAACAGGGCCACTAGCTATCTAAATAATTAAGCCCCACAGCTTTGTAGTTTAGAACAGACGTTGTTATTTTAAAAAATGTCAGTGGGGCAGGGAAGGAATTAATCCTATTTTCCTACACAAAAGACTTTTTAGGATAGTCACACCATCCAACTCTGCATCCTCATCGTGATTAAATTTGGTAGCTATCTTGATTAACTTAGCTAGAGAAGTTAATTAAAATTGGGGCCTAAAATTGGTCTGACCCTCCAGACAGTTTCCGAAGTTAGACTAGAAACAACTATAAAAGCCCCGGTTCATCTTCTTTCACGCAGAAGCCTGTGTGTGAATGTGCATTGTTTGGTAAACATAATTACAATTTACGTGATATTGAGGTACATCTTGTACATTTACGCAGGAGGCAGAACTGCCGTCACACCTGCAAGTCCTGGAAGGTTTTGGTGCATCCCACATTCCCGCTGTCCATGTGCAGCCAGAGGAATTCCGTGTTGTCTGCTGGGATCCATCGGTGCGAGTCTGCCCAGCCAACACGGGTGCTCGGACACCACGTGGGGAGGCAAAGGCTTCGTGCGTGGACAAGCCGCCCGTCTCGGAGGCCTGGTGGAGCACAAAGCTCCTCACTGCTGTCACTTGCTTCATTGCAAGGAGCCTGGAGATCGGGGCCGGTGAATTCTTCCAGTCCTGCTGCTCTTGCCCCTTGTGGGCATGCTCTTGTGATCCTGGACTTGTCTTTACTTGACAGGTGCTGCTGGTCTCCACGGCAGAAGACAAGGGCAGGGCCCTGTTTCTCTGGCCATCTGCAGCAAAGCGATTTGGGAGAGGAATCCCTGACTTTTGGTGGGATCTCATCCCGCAAATGCGACTGGCCAGAGGTCATTAGGGCCAGGCCTGAGCTCACCGGTGCTGAATATAACCCCTGCACAGATAGTCTAAAAAAGGAAGAGAAAACGGCACACGGTGTCTGCTTGTGGAGTGGTAAGAGGAGTTGCTAGGAAACCGCAGGATCTCAAAATGCATATGACCTAATCTGGAAGATAATTTATATGATGAAAATAATAATACTAATGACAGCCACTTACAGGTTAGAATGATTAATTTGGTTATCTTGGTGCCTACGTGTTTCTGGGAGCAGGATGGGAGGCAGGTCTCAACTTCTGCCTCCTCGCTGCTTTTTAAGGGATAAAGACAGAAACTGGAGCCTCCTAATAAGCAGAAAGGGCAGCAAAGGCAACGGTACATAAGGAATGCTGAGCTACGGCCACGAAGGTGATTTAAGTGGGTACCAGCATGCTGGGATCTACGTTTCCCAACCAAAGGGAATAGTCTGTTTTCATCTTAGAGTTGCTTCGGAGAAGTGCAAGGAGCAGGAGTTACAGACTAGGAAAAAATCCTTACCAGATGGTGGGCCTAGGAAACAGCTAATTAATAGTTATTAATGATTTTCATCTAGTTCTTATGGAGATAATATTCGGTCTTTATTTATGTGGTGCAATAAGCTATTAAGTTACAATTTCTGACATAATTTTGTGTTTGTCAGCTGGAGTACCTGTATGGCAGCTTTTATGTGTACAGACCCTGTGCCCAAATCTGCTCCCTTTTGTTTGTCAGCTGGAGTACCTGTATGGCAGTTTTTATGTGTACAGCTTTATGTGTACTGTGCCCAAATCTGCTCCCGTTTTGGGCTTGGAGCTGTTGTAAGGTTAGGTAGGAAGGATAAAGTTAATCTGTTAAAATCACAGTAAGAGCATTCAGGACAACTAGATGAGATAATTAACAGATAGTCTGCTTTTTTATTGCTAAATAATTAGCAGTTGGAACATTGGTAGTGCTATTGGTGATGACTGCAGCGAGTCCAGTGGTGGAATATGTGTGCACTACTGATCTTCTAATTTTCTAATTCTTGCATGTCTGAAATAAAGCTATTTTAAGTATAGTCAACAGAATACTTTTGATTTGTTTTTTAGCAGCAAGATGCAATATCACAACCATTCAGTAAGTGCAGAATTTTCTTGATCTTTAGTGTTTGTCTGCATCTGTTACTAGTTTGGGTTTTCACTTAAATTCTTGAAGGAAGGAACACATTTGATTTCTTGCATATGGAAAAGGTAACAAGCAGATTGCATATTTAAATGGAGTTTCTGCAGACTTAACAGGGCTTAGAGTATGGAATGACAGGAAGTATTTTCTTGTGGTTATATTCAGTACTTCCTAAAATGATCTTATCTGTGACACCTTTGACTAATTTTAACATCTAATTCAGAAATTAATTCAGCATTTCTGCATTGGGTGAAATAGTAGCTGTTTAAAAAGCAAACTGCCCATATAATAAACACTGTTTATTCTTCTGCTAGGCCTGCTTCCGTCTGACCATTGCAATGCGCAGGCAGTAGAGTTAAAGCAAAGAGTTGGAAAAGTTAATTTCTGAAGATCATCTTTCTGTCGTTCTAACCCTTTTCCTAAGAAGCAGAGAGTGCACATTTGGACTTTTCCTTCCTCTCAAATCTTTACATTAAACAGCTTTTGAGCCATGTTTAAATATTCATCATTATTGCTTTGGGGGAGATGTTGTAGAGCTGCATATGGAAATTAGATAGTGTAGAACTCATTATATTCCTATATAATTTGATAGAACCACTTACAGTCAGACCTTGATCTTATTTTGGGCCTCTTCATTACTTTCCAGAGATGAAAGATTCCCCTCCACTCCTTTGTGTCTCTCCTTTTAATCTTACCTTACCCTTGGCACCATTAAAGCAACAGAACATCATTTCAAATGCAGTGTATCGTTTAATCTTTTCCAACACTGAGGAACACGATGTTCACTCTATTTATAGAACAATGCACAGAATATGGAATTTAATGGATCTTGACTTCTCTGCTAGTCATAGATACCTGGGCTGATTGGACAGACAACTTGGAAAAAGTGTCCTGATAGGCACAACCTGAGCAGGGAAATGCAGGACTGTCGGGAAAGCCCCGGAGCACTGA